GAGAGAAAAAGAAAGAAAGGAAGAAAGAATCTGCTCGATATAAACGCTCGATAGGAATACCTAATACGTCGGTTGACGACGATCGACTGGATATATATATATATATATATATGCCCTTTGCAAAGAAAAGATGTCTCGAGAAGGTACGGGGATTCGCACGATCGCTACGGCCCTGGCTATAAGCCATTACCGCGAGGCACAGGCACTCGCCGCCTCTCCTTCCACGACCTCGTCTCCGTTCCACCGCGGTCTCGCTCTCTGTCTCTCAACCTCTCCTCCTTCTCATCAGGCGGGGTGGCAGATAACATTGCTGCATGACACCACCGGCTCTTGGTAGAACTACTCGAGAGTGGTAGATACCTACAGGCGGCTGGCACACACGGACGTCCTCTCTCTCTCTACTTTGTGTGTCGTGCGTGCTTGTGTGTATGTGTGTGTGTACGTATACGACCGTGTCCGTGTCGCAGCGGAGCGGCACAGACGCGCGAGGGCCCGCTTGGAACAACTCCGCAACGGGGAACGTCCATAACCGTGCGGTGTGGAGCAGCGCGCGGCGGCGGTGCACAGTGCATTAGGACTGGGTTACGACAGTAAATTTTCACTACCGTGCGGAGTTCTAATGGCCGGGAATGCAGCTGGTTTCAGTGGCCTCCAGTTGCCGTCTTCGTCTTCCATCTTCCATCTTCCCCATCTCTGATTCCTCCTCTCGCTCTCGCTCTACCACGGATGGCCCTGCGTGTGTGTGTATATATATATATATATATATACATATATATGTATATACGTATTCGCCGCATTGGTTTCTACGGCGAAACGCGGAAAGGGGGGGAGAGGAGGTGGAGGGAGTAAGAGGGTGAAAAGGTAGAAAGAGAGAAAGGGAGAGAGAAGAGTTAGGGGGAAAGGGATGGGGAGACGGCGAGGAGTAAGTTGTTCGCGGTTCCTCCGCGCAGGAAATGTTCGGCGAGATCCCTTTAATATCGTCGAAACAGCTCGCGACGTGTGCATCCAGAGCAAAGGGTGAGCGTGCACACACGCGCGCGTTCGTGCATAGGTAGAAAGGGAAGAGCAATCAGACTGTCCGTTCTTTCGTCTTCTACAACTACCCTTCGCTCATTCTCCTTTCGGTGAACATCACGTGTCTCCTCCTCCTGGAATCCCGTTTTTTTTTTCCGTTTCTTTGTTTCTTCTTTTTTTTTTTTTTTTTTTTTTTT